TTCGATCAAGTCTTTCGTTCAGTTTCCCTTAACCTTTGAACAAGTGCTGAGACGACCCCTTGCTCTGCTTCTGGACCGTAAATACAAATTCAATTTTCACTTTTTAAAATTTATCAGCTTTTTTTATTTTTGAGCATTCATAAATAAATACTATATCTGCAAATTTTATTTCATAATTCATAATTTCAAACATTAAAATATATAAATTATAATAACGGACAACCATATCAAAACTTGTATCATATATAATTTCATTTTGTGTACCAGTTTTATTGAGCTTTCTTTTGCTAGGCGTGAGAGGAGAGGAGTAGAGGGTTAGTTATTTGATTGCAGTATATACAAATCAGATCTGAAAATGTTTGCCCATGCAGCTCTATTACGTAGGAGTGAACATATATTTAATTTATATTTTTAATCATAATAGTGTGAAATAAAAGAGAGTGTAGGGATTCTAGAATTCAAGAAGACACGTGTAATTTCACTCCCGCCCCCACACTCATCATTTCATTTGACATAAACAATTGAAATGATCTATGCGATAATTATTTATATTATTATTATAAAACAAACTTGTAATCGAAGAGCAATAATCGAAAGTAATAATCTTTTCTACTATTGTAGCGTCTTCTTATTGCAGTATTTCTCTTAAGAACATATGCCTTTAAAATTTTAAATCAATGTTCAATCAATTTTAAGTCAATGTTTTCCCATTCTACTTTGTTGAAGACTGGGAAAACATAGATGTAATATTAAATTTGAAATGCTATGAAATAAAATAATTGAAAAAAGTTGTCTGCTGTCAAAATTTTAAAGGGACCTGTTCTTATGAGAAATAATATTTTCCTTGGATATTCAGCTTTCCTTTCTCTCTTCAAGCTACGTCACTGCAAGAGATCAAAGTCGATCAGTTTCGTAACATTGTCCCTACTGATCGCGGAACAAATTATGTGCGTATCTGCGACGGCCTCGGAATCGTAAGTTCGAAGTTCAAGTCGCTGACCTACATCAACAAGCATCACACTGATTCGAGTCTCGCGTTCTCTCCAGTAGGAATGCGACATCGATGTCGATGTTTTAATAAAATCATTTATGTATTTAACATCAATTTCTTGAAGCCGATATTTTTTTAAATCGGTGTTTTGTGTTCGATGTTGATCGATATTTTCAAAATGAAAGAAAAATTCCCTCAAAAATATTATAATAATTTTTAGATATTAATAAATTGAATATACTTCAGACCAAAATGACTAAGGGTAATAAATAAAATCCCTCTATAGAGAAGTCTCCATAATTTTTGAGTTATCGAATCAGATAATCCGCGTTTTGTTAATTGTCCTGATGATTTTTTTTACTTTGTTTTTTTTTATCAGGTACAAAATTAGTAAACGATACCACTTTCAAATTACTCCCCTCCCCCTGCCGCGTAACCGTAAGTGGTTACTAATCCTGTTTTAAAACATCAATATTTAATAATATTGATGGTTTTGTTTCGATGTTACAAACGCATCGATGGTTTCATTTTGAATATCGATTTTTATCGGTATTTAGAAACGTCGATGTTTTCTTGACAACGTCACATCCTTACTCTCCTGTATTCTGTACTTTGTCAATTTACCTTTGAATTTGGTGATTGAAATCGGGTCTAGATTTGAAGTGTTTGCGAGATGATAGCAATTTAATTTGTGATTTGCGCAGACTGATGAGATTTATTTGCATAATTATTACTTCAAGATTCGCTTTCGCAACAACAACTTGAAGTACTATTAATAGTTTGTCACGATACGTTCTAGCAAAATATTTTCGTTACTCATTAATGCGACAAAATTCGTATCACAGTATGAGCTGAGTTTAGCTTGTGACATTCTACATAAACTGTAAAATGACACATTCGAGTGATGTTGAAGGGCTGTACGAAAGCTAATTGTATTCAGCAACACTGTAATGAGTACGATATAGATTTGTTGTTGGCAGATACCCACGCAATCTTGTAAGGATATCTAGTTTACTCTTGAGTAAGAAAAATAAAACAAATTTATAGTCGAGAAATACACTGAAAGTTTTGTAAAAATATACGTCAAACAGTATTTTATGTGGCATGAAGAAGTAGCTAGATAAAGATCAGAGCAAATCGTCTCCTATATTATTTCAGTTCATGTCAAACGCAACCCTCAGCACTCAGCTATATTGTTAAATAACTCCAAAAGGAAGCGTTCTAGGGTCTTAAAAACTAAACTTTTGAGACAGGTCTCAAGGAAATGTTTCTCACATCGTACTCTCGCGGATGAGATATTCTTGTCATTCAATTAAATTTTTGTTGGTCCGGCACTTATCGATACTATCAATGTGTCATATATTTATCCCTTGTTGATGGTGGCCATCTTTATAACGTCACGCTTAGAAGGCTTCGATTCCTCTATCTTGTTATTTACGCCTTCTGTGTACACCGTGGTTTGCGCAGACGAGGCTTATTTGCATAATTATTACTTCAAGATTCGCTCTCGCAGCAACAACTTGAAATACTATTAATAGTTGCTTGATTCCGATGAGATTTCTTTCCTATACGTGTAATAAAAACTTTCATTTAACGTTTTGTCAACAAGGTCTACGTACCTAATTGTGGAGGGATGTTGATGTACAGCGAAGAACGAAAACATGTCTTGTTATGTGGGTGATCTGGGCTGTCCGGGTGACGCCGCGTCGAAGGCGCTTGTTTGTTATATTGTTAATATTTATTAATATTAAAAATTAACATTACCGAGGCTGCAGATTGTAGACTTGTAGCTCGGCAGGCATAACTCGACGCGGCAAATAATTTTTGCTTCTTGAAAGCAACAGAGAGTTGTGACAAATGATTATCTTTGAGCCAGCCTCGAAACAGCGGCCCTTCTCCCCGAAACGCTGAGACCGAACTCGACATTTAACCACTTCAGCCACCCGTGTTATACAGAGCGTTGACAACTCTTAAAAAGTCATAAGCGGCAAAATACAACAATTGATTTGATGGTTTATACGATTTGCAAATTCAATAAGAGATGTGAAAAATTGTTTAAAAGTTAAAAATTCAAAAAATCACGTACACACACTTCCAGTTTATTTATCTTGATTAATAATATTTACGAATAGAATTGCTTTAAACGGTTTTTAATAAATTTTGTGGAATAATCAATTATTTCCTGCAACAACACAGAATTGTCACAAATAACAATTCCCTGACAAGACTCGAACCAGCTGACCTTCCCTCCGAAGAGCTGGGCACGTAGCCACCAACCATCCCGTCCCGTCACCCATCCCGCCACCTGCCATCCCATTAGGAAATGGAATGAATTCTTTTATAAGTAATAAGTGTATGTGGTTTCTGTTATAGTATTATGGAGCCAAGTAATTGAGAAAATGTGTAAATGATAAAATGTCGGGCGACAAAATGAAAGCAGACGTGAAGAGAACGAGGGTTTTGTTTTGTTATTTAAGGTCGCATAAACGTCTAGGTCATTAGCGACCACTATTGATTGTAAC